GTTCTTAATATTCTTCCAAAATTTGAATTGGACAGCAGATGAATTTTCCAGTGGGAGAATTTAGGCCAGCCCCAGATTTGTGATCTGTCTAGCACAATTTTGTGGTGCCTTCCCCTATAATCCTGCTGTCCCCTACATGAAGGCTAAGTACTGCTTGTGTTGAAGGTGTTCTTCACATACTCATGCTACTTTGAGATCGCAGAGTAGTGGGAATTTGCATATTTTCTACTGAGTTCAATGTGGCCTTAATCTGAAAACAGTGATACATGTTTCAGCAGAGAATTTTATGAGACTGACGCGCTGCCTGCTGCGCTAAGAGGGCGCCAGCAGAGAATTTTAGATACACACCAGAACAAAAAGGAGCATTCCTTCCTAACACTTTCTCTGCTTTATGCCCTTCACACTTACATGTCCACCAACAATAAACATTGTGAAAATTACAAGTATTTTATATAGTGTTTATTCCCTATAGAGGGCAATACACCACTTAAGATCAAAGGTCAATGGAGAGATTTTTTTAAAAAATTGTCTTTAAGTTATAGAACCAACGGACTTCCACTCCAGCAGCTGTTTAAGAAGCAAGATGTTAACCACAACTTTAATACAACCACATTTTTGATAACAAGACAAGGTGACTATTAGTCATGCTCTACCACCTGTAAAATGCTGACTTGACTAATACATATATTGGCTGAATATAAAAAAGGTTTTGGCATCTTGCTCAAGGTCATGGACAAATCTGAAATCTCATCAAGCTATGTTCATTGTTATGCAAATATACCAAACACGGTTTCACTTAGAGACATTTCAATAACCATGTAAATGGAAATCAGAAGGTAAAATAAAATATTGAATTCTGTGAACTTATTTTTCAAGATTATTTTTCAACACATGATTATGATATCCTATCAATTCAGTTTAGACTTTTAAAATATATGTGTATATATACATATATATACATATATATACACACACACACACACACATATATATATATATATATATATATATTTTACTGATTTCAGAGAGGAAGGGAGAGAGAGAGAGAGACAGATAAAAGCATCAATGATAAGAGAATGATTGATTGGCTGCCTCCTGCACACCCGCTACTGGGGATGGAGCCTACAACCCAGGCATGTGCCCAGACCGGGAATAAAACCGTGACCTTCTGAATCATAGGTCGACGTTCAACCACTGAACCACACCAGCAGGGCCAGTTTAGACTTTTTAATGTAACATTAGAAACCTAGGCTTACATTTAAAAAAAATTGTATCATGTACATGACATCATGTACATAAAATATATCAATCAACAAATATACTCAATGCTTATTAAATGAACAGCTAATTTCTTGAGGTGGGAGGACATTATAAAAAAAATGAGACCTTTTTTCTGAGGGAATGTACAAATGTATTTGAGGACATGTGATATAGGCATAGCAGAGATAATGAGCAATATCAGTAATGTGCTGAGTTCCTGGAGTGACACAGATAGAAAAAGCTAGAGTAGTCTTTAGAACAGAAAGGTTGTTCTTTAGGTGGGACCAGGGGTGAAGCCTGGCCTTGAAGTATGAATTCAGACTTAAAATGCTACAGATAGTGCCGGGAGCCGGTCCATGCTTGCTGTTTCAAGGGACCTGGCATATATGGCATACTGTTCTTAATATGTTTGCTCACCTTCTTGGCACTATGTGTTTTAACCAAGGTCTCTGAGAAAGGTTGTTTCCCCAGGTAGGGATTTTCCCCTGAAGTTAGGGAGGGAATAAAATCCCTTAACTAAGTGCCAGGCGGGTAATTAATCACTTTAACTACGAACAATCATGCTTAAGCTACATAACCTTTACTCCCTGGAATGGAGATAAGAAACGCCCTAACCTTTGTAATAGAGATTGATAGGATTGAATCAACTGGTATAAATACAGATGTAATAAGACAGCAAGACACAGAACTTAGAACACAGAACTAAGAAGACAGAACCTACACAGAACGTTCTCTAGAGATAGAAGAACTTTGCTGGAGAGAACATGGCAAAAGATCCTGGACAGAAACTGGCCTCAGAACCTAGAGACAGAACCTAGCGAGGGAACATGGCTACAGAACCTGGCTGGAGAACCTGGGAACCTAGCAAGACAACATGGACACAGAACCTGGCTGGAGATCCTAACCAGAACTTCATTGGAGATCCAGAGCAGAACCTCTCTGGAGATCCAGACCAGAACTTGGCTAGAGATCCTGGCTAGGCCGCTGATGAACTGAATGCTGCCTCTATGTCATTCCTTCTTCGCCGACTCCATCCACACCTTTGGGGACCCCTGGACCTGCTGGGGTTAGACCCCGGCAAGATAGCTTGGTCACAGCATGTACACACACACACACACACTGCCAAGCCTTTACTCTTATGCTCATTGCTTCTATTCAGTAACACTCTTCTCACTTGACTCCTGAATTTCTGTGGCCTCTCCTTGGTGCTCATCACTCTTTGTTTGAAATTGTGCCTGCACCTGTTACCAGAACAATGTCCCTCACACAGAGCTTTCATCATGCTCTGTCCCCTGGTTTCTGCATAGTTATTTGGCCGCACCAGTGCTGGTCTGCATTCTGCTTGACTCGGGTGTCTCTGAATCCAAGTTAGGGCCCTCCTAGCTTAGTGGATCTCAGCTCTCACTGTGATCATATTTATTGGTTGAAGAGCCTATAATAGAAACTTGTGTGTGTGTGTGTGTGTGTATATATATATATATATATGGCTGCTAGGAGTATGCGTTGGGAAGTCTTTCTGCGAGGCAACACATTAAAATGTATGTATGTTTTACTTAGACATTCCATTTCGAATCATCCCTTTGTGGTACATTTTTAAAATATATAAAATAGCACACTATTTTTATTGACACTATTTTTAAAATAACAATATTATTTGGTGTATTTGTCCTTTGGAGGGTGGCATTTCTAAACTGCAAATACCTAGAAACCATTAAGAATGATGATAGGGAAAAAAATGATGAGTATAGACAATTTTGATGTTTTTTGTTCTTTTAAGCATTAAATTTTTTTGATGTACCCATGGTGTAGCCTTTAAAAATTTGGTCTTTTATTTTGTTTGTCTTCTTAAGATCTCTGATAGCTTTTTGTTGTTCATTAAATTAATCCTTGCTTCATTATGACTCGCTTCCAGGGCCTACTTCAAATCATGTAGCAACACTGTAGACATCTCAGCCATTTCAGTGTGTCCCACCTCTGCCTGGAGTCCCACTGCCCACACTTACCCCTAGCTGTGTTCTTGTTTATGTACTTTTCCCACCCAGTTACCTTCTGTCCATCTCTCTCCTAGCTCAAGTCCTATCATTTTGTAAGGTTCTACTTCTTATGAATTTTCTCCTGATTTTTGTAGTCCTTCATGGCTGTCATCCAGTCCTCTGGTTTGTCCTAAGTAAGCAGGTATTCTGCAAGGAAGCCTGAGTTTAGCAGAGGGACCAGCATGTGGCTGGAGAACACTTGTGAGATGAGCTTTGCTTTGTGTTGTTTTATTTATTTTATTTTATTTTTTAAATGTATTTTTATTGATTTCTGAGAGGAAGGGAGAGGGAGAGAGAAAAACATCAATGATGAGAGAGAATCATTGATTGGCTGCCTCCTGCACACCCCCCACTGGGGATGGAACCCACAACCCAGGCATGTGCCCTTGACCAGAATTGAACCCAGGAACCCTCAGTTCGCAGGCCAATGCTCTATCCACTGAGCCAATCCAGCTAGGGCCGTTTTGTTTTTTTTCTACTTTACCCTGCACCTTTTTTTCTCTAATGAAGAGCTGGCCAAGAGGGAAGGGATATTCTAGTTTTAGCTTCAAATAATTTGCAAGGAACAATTAGGTAAAGTTCAAAGATAGGCGAGTACAGTATTTCCTTCATTTCTCTCACAGTGGTCAGTGTGTCAGCTACTTCCAGCCCCTCCCCACAAGGCATGCACATGGCCTAATTACTCTAACATTTTCTCCCATCCCTTACCCCCAAATCTTGATCCATTGCATTGTCAGGGCTTAGTATGAGAAGATGAAGATGAAAAATTACATTTCCTTATTTTTCTACATTCAGCTCATTAAACTATATCCTGGCTCCCGTTGGTGGCCTTGCTCTCTAACCCCTGGTATGATACATGAATTGACTTTCTTTAGTTCATGTGGTAACTTAAAACATTTTGTTATGAAAATTTGCAAACATACATAAAAATAGAATAGTTTAATAAACTTCTTACATACCCATTAAACAGATTCAGTTACCAAGATTTTTAATGTACCTTCTTTTAAAATCGAAGTTTATGTTGATATATTGCTTTGTTAAACTGTAACATCTAAAATTTGAGTCTTCATCAGGTGCTTAATAGATCAAATGGTGAAACTCTGGTGTTCAGTTTCAATATTTAATTATTAATTGTCAAGGACTGTGGTACATAAGAGTAAAACTTAAAATTCAACAAACATATCTAATGTAAGTTTATGTGGTAACTTTAGGCACAGGTTATCATTTGTAAAATGAGAGTTGTGCAGAAATCATTGTATAAAATTATTTGTATTATATTAACTTTACCCCTTAGCATGAAAATTGAATTTTGCATCTACTTTTTACAATTAAAATATGGTCCTGGGAGTCATGAAAATCATTCTGGGGAATTACCAGGGAGTGTTATTACTTGTAAACCTCTCCATGCGATTTCCTTCACATATAGTTGTGAAATTACTAAGTATTTTCAATGTGTACTTAGGCATTCTCATTCCTGAAGGACATAGAGCAATAGGAAACTTCCTCTTAGACATTAATATGAGTATGAAAAATTATGAAGTGCATTTTGCTCATAAGAAACTTCTTAAAATAGGACAGTGTGCTATTAGCTTTGAATGAAGGTGAGTCATCTTCGTGCCTCTCATGAATAACTCGTCTCTTTTGCAGGATCCAATTCCCAGTTAAAATTCTATAGTTAATTTTTCCCTTTGTTTCCTGTTTCTCCAGCTCTTGTAAATGTGAAGCTCTGGGCTATTGATCGACAATGTTTTCAAACAATAATGATGAGGACAGGACTCATCAAGCATACCGAGTATATGGAATTTCTAAAAAGGTAGGATGCTTTCTTTTCTCTTTCTGAGACCATTTAATGTCTTCACAACCCTCTTGTCTGAAATGAAGCACACGGAAGCATTTTTGCCTATATCTTGGTCTTCATGGGCTACACATCTGTGGAAGTGCAAAACTTTGCACTGGGCTTCTTGATATTTCTGGTGCTTATTTTCAATAATATGTGGTTAAGTCATGGCTTGAGAGTTTCATTCAACATTCTCTCATGGAGGAGTGCAGCAAAGGAGAGAAGAGGAACAAATGAGAATGTGCTTGAACAAAAAGGAGTCGGGTCCATCTTTAATATGTATCAGTTAATATTTTCTCCATGCCACTTCTAAGGCAACCCACACTATAAGACTAAGTCAGCTCTTGTGTGAATTTCCACATGAAAGTCAGGTGACTAAGATGGAAAAGTTCCAAAAAGAAGCTTATTATCCTTTAATCTGGAGTTCAATTTCCCAAATTAAATTCATTTTATGTTGCAGTTCTGAAATATAATACTTCCCTTGACGTTATACATTATCATAATAACTCAATATAGTATGGGAACTGGAATGAAAAACAGCTTTTCATTTCTTAGTAATACACTGAGATTCGCTGAAATGCATTTCTTTGTCTCTCGGGTTATTTTAAAGAAAATACTATTTTGTTATTAAAAAGAATATTGACAACTCTGACTTTAAAAATAAAGTATCATTTTTCTTTTGAAAACAGAACCATCATTATGTGAGCTAAAAGGAGGTGAATCACCAATTAAGATTTCATTTGGGAGCTAGAATATTAAAGTAGATCTTTTATATTGGGTGAAGTAATAATTTAAATGGAGTTTAAAAAATTAAGTTTACGTTTTATTTCAATGATACACCTGAAACAATATCTATTCAATTTTTTTTAAGATGCAATTTTAATATTCCTTATTTTGGGATTTCTTGTGGTTAACTTATTTTATTTCTGATGTTTATATATTTTTTATTTTCACATAAAATTTATTCTTTATATTTTCTCTAAAGAGGCAATAAAATTCTAATTTGATGTCAAGTAATAATATATTGAAATATTACTCTATCAATAGGTTGTTGGGATTTTTTCCTCAGTGAGATTGGATGAAACATTTAGAAGGAGAAACGTAAATTTCTGTTTGGAGTTTAGTATAGTGTGCAAGGAATTAAATTATTTGGGTGCTGTGTGTGTGTGAGTGAGTGTCTATGGAAAGAGAGAGATATTAATACTCATTTTTAAGTCTTAAAGTGCAAGTATTGATTTCTTCTGATGCAGCCCTAATAGAGGAAGATCCCCATTGGTAATCAGTGAAATAGGACAGAGCCCATTGTTTGTCTCAGGTTCCTAAGCATTGGGAGCTTATGAGGTTAGTTTCAGCTCCCACAAGTTTGTTTTCACAAGGAAATTCAAAGAGTATCAGAATTGCCTTGTCTAACTCCAATAAAAACATTTTTAGAGGCACTATTTTAGGAAATGGAGTTTGGAGATGTATCTCTTTTTTTAAAAAAAACAAAAACTTTATTGATTTCAGAGAGAGGAAGGGAGGGGGAGAGAGAGATAAAAACATCAACTATGAGAGAGAATCGATTGGCTGCCTCCTGCGTGCCCCCTATTGGGGATCAAGCCAGCAACCAGGGTATATGCTTTGACCAGGAATCGAACCAGTGACCTCTTGATTCCTGGGTCAATGCTCAACCACCGAGCCACATCTGGCTGAGCAGAGATTTATCTCTTTTTAAAATTGACCCTAGATATTGTTTTATTTTTATATTATTCTCAGAGCTGCCTAAATTTGTGTTATTCTGACAATTCAAACCTTAAACAATAAAAGTTAGTTCCTTGGACTGAATATTTCCTGTTGGTCAGCTTAGAGCAGGTAGAATTTAACTGGTTGAATTAAAAACAGGTAGGCACTGCCTTTGATGTCACTTTCCATCTGGCTCCTGTGTAAAACACTAAGTCCACATCATTTGTGAATGCACCCCAGGGCAGGGAGTCCATAGAGGTGACACAGTGGCCATCATTGCCGAGAGCCAGCTTTCATCTTCCCTAAAGTATGCCTGTGACCCACTGGTATAACCCTTCAATGGCTCACAGGTCCTGTTGAATATGGATAGTCTCATTAGCTAGATATGCAAGCCGGAGCTCCCACAGCCAGAGCCAGCTTGCTTTGTTAGTCTCCTTTCTCCTTTCCTCGGGCAAACCAAACAGTTCCACGTGCCCAGCCAGTCCCTTTGCCCTGATATAGCACACTGCCTCTATTGCCTTTTCCACACCGCCTCCCCTCCGCCCAAGGTCAATGTTCAAATCTCTCTTCTTTTTAGAGCCAAATAAAAGCTGTCTCTTCCAGGGACAGTGACCTCATTCCACCAAGAAATAACCTCCATCGCCTCTGGAGCTTCATCTCTGCCATGGCTCTTGTTTTCTGCTTTGTTTTATTGCCATCTGACTACTAAACTTATTTCTACTTCCAGATGATCAAGTTTTCCTGACTAGAGCTCTGAAGTATCTTGGTGTTCTGTGGTGCAAAACTTACTGCTTTGCAGATAGGTAGTTGGTAGGATAGTAGGTGCAGGATCAGTACATAGTTTGCAGTGCCCAGTGCAAACTAAAAATTCAGGACTCCTCTTTTCAAAAATTTTTAAAAATGATAAGGCCTTGACAGCATAGGATTAAAGCAAGTGTAGGAATCTTCTAAGTGTGGGCTCTGTGCCACTGCACAAGTTTACACTCACAATGCTGAGATAGGAAATAATATTCATTCTTCCTTCACATTTCCAGTTAACTATACTTGCTATCATTTATTTTGTAAGGCTGTTAAGAGAAGGCATAATATCTCCAAAAGAAATAAATGTTAGACATTGTCTAAAACTAAGATGAACAAAATTAATTCAATTTTCTCCCATAACTTTAGCATTGTATCTACTTCCCCACTTGTTACTGATTTTTTAAAAAATGTGCTTACCACTCTTTTATGTGAAATTTAAAAAAAATGTTATATAGCCCTGTCCAGTTTGGCTCAGTGGATAGAGCATCAACCCTTGGACTTAAGGTCTTGGGTTTGATTCTGATCAAGGGTACATACCTCTGTTGTAGGCTTGATCCCCAGCCCCGGTCGGGGGGCACATGTGGGAGGCAACCAATTGATGTCTCTCTCACATTAATGTTTTTCTCTGTCTCTCCTCCTCCCTTTCACCCTTTCTAAAAGTCAATGGAAAAATGTCCTCAGGGAGGATCAACAAAAATAAAAAATAAAATGTTATGTAGTCAAGTCAATAAACTTTTTTTTTTTATAGCTTCATGTTTACAAAGGCTAACATCCTACCACTGTAAAAAAAATATAGACTTAATACTTTAAAGTTCTCTGTAGCAATCTGTATGTAAATGAGGGTATGTGTTTTTCTCTTATGCGCTTCCTAAATACAACTTTCATTTGAATTTTTCTAGCAATATCATATACTTTTTATTTTGTTGAAGAATTGAATCCTGTGACACTATCAGAAAAATAAACACTCTAGCAAATGCTATTACAAGTCATCAGAATTCCTTGCAGTAGGGGCCTTTGTTATGCCTGGGATGCCTTCCTAACTGAGGAATTTCAGGGTCCGGCCAAAAGGAGAATGATCCATATTACTGCTCATCTCCCTGTCCCACTCTTAGCATTTTTCTAACTAAGCAGTAAGTTTGGTTAGAAAGAGGAAAGGGGACACACCGGGCATACTAATATCCTGCCAAAATGGAAGGATTTTTCTTGATTGTCAAAGTAGGTTTTTATTTTCAGTCCAGTGTGTTTACCCATTTTGCAACTACCAGTCACGTGGTCTGGCCCCCTCTTTGCTATGAAATGCCACATCAAGCTGTGATTCTGGTTCTTCGATCCTATTTAGTCATTTGTCTTTTGTGCTTGTATTTCACATTCCCTGATGTAAACGCAGATGTTCCTATGCAAGCAGAGCGAAAAATATTCAAAGGGCATTGCTATTAAGTAAGCCATTATTGCTTCAGGTCCAGTAGTGATTTTCCCAGTTGCCAGCATTTTCCATCTTCTTTGGCTACTGAGAAATCCTTTTGTTTTTAAGATGGATTTTGAAAAGTGAGCCAAATAACTGCCAGAGTTAATTTGCGTAGCTTTTGTCTGAACATATTATCTGTGCTGCTGTTGGCACTGGCATCTATACCCAAAAGAGAATTAGAATGCAGCTGTGTGACCACTGAGATGTGCTTATAGGAACTGGGTTTTCTGCTGGCTGAAGACTATGACAATGATGACGATGATGACAGTGATGATGAGCCTCTATTTATATTGCTTGCCTCGCTGACAAATTGGAGACAGAGCAAGGAGTTTTTGGAGTATAAGCTACTCAAGTGATCCTATTGACCTTCAGTAAACCTTTTCTTTATCCATTAAGAAATCTTGTGGGCCTGGACGGTGTGGCTCAGTGGTTGAATGTCAACCTATGAATCAGGAGGTTGCTGGTTCGATTACCAGTCTGGGCCCATGCCTGGGTTGCAGACTTGATCCCCAGTAGGGGGCATGCGGGAGGCAGTGGATCAATGATTCTCTCTCATCATTGATTTTTCTATATCTCTCTCCTTCTGAAATCAATAATAATATATTTAAAGAAATAAATCTTTTGGTAAGGCAGACAATGCTGATGTCATCCTACATAAAACCATTCCGTGACTTCGTATTACTCCTAAGCATAAAGCCTAGGTCTATAGCATTGTCTTCAAAGCCCTTCCTCACCTGGGTACTGCTGACCTCCCAGATTCATCTTGTTGTCTATCTTCTTCCTTGATCTCTCATTGTTCCAGTCACATGGCAGTCTTTCCTTTCCTTGTACGCTCCATGCTCCTTCCCAGCGGAGAGCATCCTGGAGGATTTCTCTCCCTTTGAATGAATGTATTTCCAAAGGTGATTATGGTGTAACACACCACGTATACCTGCTGCAGGAAAAAAAAAAAGGTTGAGCCCTGGTGGGGTAGTTCAGTTGTTAGAGC